TTGACAAAATAGTTGCGCACGCACCTCTGTGCTATTTTCAAGGCCTTCTGCTGTCGATGTGATCACAACCTTCCCATTTTATCATTTTTTTAAGCACGGCCCTAACAGTTTTACAGGACAAAGGTCAGACATCAAACTGAATGTTTTGCTGTTGCTGGGATACGCATCGTTTTGCCCCAGTGCATTTGATCGGAACAGAAAAGATTCCGGGTACCGTTTGTCCACTCGCATTGTGGAAAAAAACACTTCTGCACTTAATTTGATTTGAGAGCTTCCTTTGTTGATATCACCACTGTGGGTTGCACAGGAGTCTACTAAAAACGTGATCGGTTTACCCCTCAATGTCACAACAGTAGTTGGCCATTTTTCTGCGTAAGCTTCATTTTCATAAGCTAAATGTAGGTCCCTGTGTTTGGGCCTGTCAACGCTCTCTAAACTCTCTAATTCTATCTCTCAATTAAGCCAAGCAGTGAATCAGTGCGCAGCGCGGCTTCATTGCACGTTAGCAGTTAGTGTGTTGTGTGTAAGAGTCGTGTTGCATTACTCATTCTGTACAGGGCTGTGTCAGATCCCCCGTTCAACCGACATCAATCTGAATGAAAATCTCTGCTGGTCTTTCCGGCTCGCACCCCGTCCACGTCCACTCTCCAGCGTCCCGCATCTCGGCGATGGCTGGGGACCAGTCACGATTCCAATGTCCAATTTCACCCACAGTTGAAAACCATTTGTCCTGGTCGTCTATGGACACGCTCGTTCTCGGAACCATCCCTGTCCGTTGCCACCTCTTCCTCCGTAGTTCTCTACTTCACTGACTCCCACGACGGAATTGTTGCCGTCATTTGTCAATGTGAGATTGGCCTGATGCTGTGCCGTCTCACTTGCGCGCCCGTTTTTACAGCGTTCTCCTCAGTGTTCTTTATTTCTGATGCTTTGCCGTGTCTGAGGATTCCGGATGATAAAGTCTTTCCATCTCTGGTGATCATGCCATTGTCATTGTCCAGTGTTAACCTTTATTAGATCATGCGGGACCAGAGTGGATTGAAGCCGCTGGCGCTCTGGTCAGGTGCGGACTCTCTGTGACTTGCTCCAGCCAGGAGGGGGATGGGGCGGGGGCAGATGCGGAGGCTCCTGCTTGCGGGGAAGAAGCAGCCAGGGTGAGGGGGTGATGCAGACGCCTCTGGAGCGCCGGTGAGAGGAGCAGCGGCAGGGAGGCAGCTGACGCTGCTGCTGCTGCTGTTGCTGGTGCCTGAGGTGCCGCGGCTGCTGCTTGTGTTACCGGGGGGGTGAGAGAGCGGAGTACAGCGGGGTCCAATCTTCTACGGTCGTATTGACGTGGGATCGGTGGTATGCTCGATAAAAAAGACAGATGGTGAAAGTAACAGTCGAGATCCCTATACATTCTTTCGGTCTTTCCCTAAGCTTTGCCTCAGTCATCACGCATTCAGCCACCGTCTGATCTCATCCACGGACCAATTCAATTCTTTCACACGTACAGTAACCTGCCTTTTTTTGTTAACCACAGGTTTCTCGAGCACAATTGCGATTTAATCTTTTCCAATTGGTTCAAGCGAAGGAGCCATTTCTTGGAAAACCTAATATTCAGCCACCCACATTTCAGTGCATGCCCTAAAACTTCCACCATGTTTCTTACTCCATAAAAGACAAGACATTGGGGGCGTCCCAAACTGTTTGACTCTGTGCCTTTTCTTCTAAGCCACATTGGCTGGATCTGAGACTTCAAACTAGATTCTAGTATCAACAGAGGACTCGAACCCCTGACTAAGACGAAAGACTAAGATTTTGACAGGACTCGAAACTGTTTTCACAACGAGGAGGACTCGAAGTCCCCCCCGGACTAAGACTAAAACCTTAGATTTTTTACGACAGGAACTCTTACCTTGTCCACAACAAGGGACTTGAAACGGCGAATAAGCTTGAACTTAGATTTTTTAGACAGGGGACTCATAACCGGTGTTCACAATTCGAGGACCTAACCTTCCCGACTAAGTAGTAAACTTAGATTTAGACCCTGGACTCTAAACCCGTCTTGCACAACGAAGGACTCCTAACCTCGAGCTAAGAATAAAACTTAAGATTTCTTGACAGGGACTCCATCCTGTTTTCACACCGGAGGACTCTAACTCCGATAAGAATAAACTTAGATTTTCTTCCCAACAGCTGGATTAGAATGTGCAGCCCGTCCCAGCTCGGCAGCTCCAACCATGCACTGCATCCCACAAGTGCTCTCGGATTCAACCACTGCAGCATAGAAAGTCAAATATTTAAACAAGTTTACGTTTAGTTTTGTGTGAAAATCCTAGAGGCGAACGGTTTGAAACTCAGCACGTTCCCGTGTCAGTCCGCCCGCCAGAGATATGGGAAAGCGACGAGATGGTTTTGAATCCGGGCGATCAGTACCCGAATCCGGACCCCTGGTTTCAACGGTCATAGCCTTCGAGGACCACTTCTGACACCAAATTGTTATGAAATTCTATTGCCTCCAACATGAATGAAACCGAGGAGGAAAACAAACGTTGTCCTTTGGGTTCTAGTTTGCAGTTTTATTCACAGAAGTGCTGAGTACAATTGACTTTTATTTTTTTGCGCAGAAAGGAGTCAAACAGAGCGGGCACTGGAGCCATGCCGGTCTGTCTGTTTCCCCCAACAAAACATGTCTTATGATCTGTTACTGGAGGTGTGGTCGACAGACAACAATTGACATTCGTCACAAGAGAGTGGGTCATTCGCAGCTGCAGACGGGAAAGTTTGGGGAGATACATTAATGCGCCAGGAAAAGGACCTTCGAATGTGATAAACAAGGAACACGCTGTAAGAAACATTTGATGTTAGGCCCTGCAGGTCTTGGTGGCGAAGGTTATGGGAAAGAGGACGCGGACAAGCTGCCTTTGTGTTTAATGTTTCAAACAGTGATGAGAAGCAGTTTTCAGACGCTGGGAAAGAAGACGCAAGTATGACTCTAAATGATTAGAATATCTTGTTCGGGAATCTGGCCATGACACGGGTGTTACTAGCTTGGAGCTGAGGATTCTCGCGTACTGCAGACTAAATTCCGTGGGCTACACAGACATTTTCCCCATAGAACTCAAAGTAATAGAAAAACTAAAACAGCTGCCAGAGAACCTACCGCTTTCATAAAGGTCGGTTTTTGTGGGAATTTTGTGTTCCTTGGTCATCCAGAAACTTTTCATCTCTTAAATCCTTCGGTTTTCTCTATTACACTATGTGATACAAACTCTGCTGGTTTGCTGCGTGTATAACAGCTACAACAGCACAGTCTGCTGGAGTTCTGCTGGAAAAACCACATTACACCTACCGAACTCTTTTTGGGACACCGCTTGGCACGGTAGAATCTTCTGTCCTTCGAACTTTGTCCCCTTTAGAAGTGTGTCAAAAAGAGAGAGTTGTGTGTAAAACGAGAGCTCTGTGCGATGCTTTCGGTTTTTTTCTGTTCTTTCTTCGTACAGGTGGTGATTTAAACACAGATTGTTCTGTTACAGATATAAATGTTCCAAAAGATTTACACCACACATAATCTGGGTACCAGATGCACACAGTCCAAGCTCACTGAGAATCTGCGACAGCAGGACTGTGTCAAAAGATTTGTGTGTAAAACTTACTTTTTTTTGCATTACAACCACACAAATCTTTCTACGCTCACACAAATCTTTTTACTGCACACACAAATCTTTTGGGGGATACGTACATACAAATCTATTTTACACACACACACAAATATTTCTTTTCCATACACATGCAAATCTGGGTTACGCTCACAAATCTTATTGAAACAATAATAGCTCCATCTCCTGCCTATGACTTCAATTCAATGCCATTTTATATGTGTATTCGCCCTAAATCACAACAGTAGTTTATCTCAAAGAACTTTACAATAGCTGTTGAATTCACTAACACAGTTCAGAGAATAGACTACAGTTTCAAACACTGGGTATGTTATGGATGGTACGGTGGGCAGAGTGGTTAACACTCTCAATTCTCAGCAGGAAGGTCCTGGGTTCAACGCTTGGTCTGAACAGGGTCCAAACAGGGCCTGGTAGCTGGCATGTTATCCCCGGGTCCCGGGTGCTCTGGTTTCCCACGGCCCTATCACGAAACTTACACCATTAGGTCTGAAGGATGGTTGTTGGTTGTCGGCTATGTGGTCCAGTCGCGCTCGGCGTTCGTTAGCATCATCATAGTGTGGATAGAATGAAACTATTGAACTCTGAACAATTGTAAAGCGCCTTTGGGGGATCTCGGTCTGTAAAAATGTCGCTATATGAATAAAGATGAGCTTACTACTTCGATGCTGTGAACTACACTTACGATGGTCCATAAAGGGCAGACGAAATCCTAATCCATAAACTGTCCCATAACTGTCCCATAACTGTCCCATAACTGGTCCATAACTGTCCTGGGGTCATTCACCCCGGTCCTTAGACACTCCTGCATAGAGAGGAACAACTCTTAAAACTAAGTAGGAAAATGAGAAAACCTGTCTGAGGTGGCCCATCCTTAGGACATCGGCTGTAGAACGAGGATTTGTGGTCGGACCTGATTCGCAGTGGAGGAGCTTGGAGCTAAACGCTCCTTAGGAACCAGCTCAGAATCTTCTGGTGAAGAGCAGAGGCTCGGTTAGGTTGGTTTGACACCAACTTGGGACTGGTAAGAAGGAGTCATGCCATTTATGGCTTTGTGTGTTTATAGGACGGATTTGGATGAGCTGGAATCTTTTTATGGTGGATTTTGGTCATGATCCACCAGAAGAGTGCGCTACAGTAGTCTGGGCTTCAGGTGACAATGCGTGGATTCGTTTTTTTACATCACTTATAGAATATTCTGATTTTAGGGATATGGTGCGCAGGTGACACCATGCTCGGTTTTAGTTGGTTCATATGTGACTTGAAGGTGAGTTCTCGATCAATTTACGGCCCCAAGATTCTTACCAGTGTTGCTGAGTTGTTACGCTAACGACGTGTGTTATGTTACAGACTGCAGTTTGTGAAGTGTCTGTTGACACGGCTTATGTGTTGCAGGGGGATTCTGGGGGTCCTCTGGTGAGGAAACCAAAATGGCGCTGGATCCAGGCAGGAGTGGGTGATGAGCTTGGAATCGGTTGCGCTCTGCTCGATTTACCTGGGGTCTATGCCCGAGTGTCCCGCTCTATCGAGTGCCTTGGGATAAACAATCACATCACAGCCAACCAGCCCGGCTTCATCGCTTCAGCTCCTCTGGCACCGACCGCGAATCAGAGCGTCACCTGCCTGCTCTTCCATCTAACTACACACCATCTAAACCACCCAACACCATCGACATTGCTGCGGTAAGTCCCGCCCACTGACGCCGATCAGTGCAGTTTTCACCTCCACACTTTCGTATAGAAAAGATGCTACTATAACTGGCCAAAAAGGTACGCTGTAGCAGCAGTTGTTTTCCTATACTTTTGGACTCACCAAAAGTGGGGGTGAGATAAAAAACTGGTTTAGTTTCCCTTACAGCATTCACTTGACTGAATCTAATATCCCTCCCCACTCTGAACTGACAACTCTGCAGTTCAACAGCAACAGCTTATTTGTGTATTTCAATCTTTGTGGTGCTGTAGAGGACCATCCCAATCTGTATATACCTGTCAGTATGTGTTGATTTGTGCCTTAGTGTGTGGCGATGGCACCCAAAAACAGCCGGATGGTCGGAGGCCAGGCTGCACCTGATGGAGCCTGGCCCTGGCAGGTCGTATCCACAGAGGAGGAGGTCACTCCTGTGGAGGGCTCCTCATCAAAACAGTGGGTGCTGAGACGCGCGCGAAACTGCCATCGAGGTGAGGAGCCTTTGAACCAAGACCCCTAAAAACTGCATATGTACAGGTTCCTAACTCTCACCCTTCCTGTTTCCTGGCTGCAGGGTGTTGCCTGTAAATACTCTGTGATCAGTCGGGGCGTCAAAGCCAAGAGGGCCCCAACCCCAACGAAGTGAGGTCGCACATCACTCAGTTCATTCAACCACCGTGACTACCACGAGGCCACCCAAGGATACGACATGTCACTGTCAAGCTGTCCTCCTCCGTCACTTCACAGCATACATAAAGCCTGTGTGCTTGGCGGGCCTCCGGCAGTGCCCTCCACAGTGGCACAGACACCTGGATCACAGGCTGGGGGGACATCCAATCTCTGGGGTGAGACGTGGGTTTAATTTGTGAAAAGTAAATATATCAAATCTGTCTGAGCTTCAAAGCCTTGAGATGCTGATTGCATCAGCAGCTCGACAGAAGCAAACAGGGTGGGTTTCTCCCAGAGACACACCATAGATACACTAGAAGGACAATGCTACACCCGCTCTGTGGAGTAGCGACCAAGTCACCCATTTTGGGCTTCTGTGGTTTAGTGGCTCTCTGTAACCAGGTGTTTACATTTGTGATGTTGCCTTTGCTAAATCTAGATAAGAGCTACTGTATATAGGACTGACCAAAACTCCAACTTACCTTGGCAACCAGGTCCCTGTTTCCTCACTGAGGTCCTTCTGAGCGGGGGGGTCGGTGGCAGCAGCTTCTCTGCTTTTAGTCATTTTGGATAGATTTATTTTATTGATGGCCTTGATTTTTGGCTCCACAGTTCCTCTGCGCCGCCACAGAAACTGATGCGAGGTGGGGAATGCCCATCAACGGGATCGACAGTGCCTTTTGTAATAAACTCAACCATCCGTATCCACCAGAACCCAATATGCGTGTGCGGGACTGAGCGCGGGAGGCAAGGGACTACTGCCAGGTAACAGCCTGTCCCACCCTGCTATTATTGTTTCAATAATATTTGGTGTGTGTGTAAACAGATTTGTGTCGTGCGTAAACAGATTTGGCGTGTGCAGTAAACAGATTTGTGCTGTGCGTAACACCTGATTTGTCGTGCTACGTCTAAAATTTTTGTGCGTGTGCCGTAACAGATTTGTGGTGTGTTAAAGAAATAATTTGTGCGTGTGTAATCGATTTTTTATACCAGTGTGGGGAGGGTCCCAGCTCAAAATAAGTGGCCAAAAATGGCCGTGCGTGACATTGCTTGCATTACCACCGGGCCGATGGGGGTGGGACCCAGAAGTTAGACTTAGCAATGCTAACATATAGCATTGGCAGACCTTCAAAAAGTCTATACAGGATAGGACCAAAAGTTGGGGCTCTTGGCCCAAAGCCTCCGTTCCACAATGTTGTGTTCTATGCTGGAGGGGGTGGAATTTTTTTGGTCCACTTCTAGTTTACTCGCTTTGAATTTTTGAAGTCTCTTGTTCAACGTATGAATGGAGCTCTCGCGGCTGACGCATGCGCAGATGGTTTTTTCACAATTTTTTTGTGGGCAGGACCACTTGCGGCCATTGTTGGATAGCTCAGTACGAGCCATTTTTTAGGGCCCATTAGTTAGAACGGCGGTAGATAGGCGGGACTCTGTCCATTTATATATACCAGTCTATGGTATATACGTTATCAAGGATTTGTGTGTGCATAGAAAAGATTTGTGTGTGTAAAGAAACAAAAAAAAGTATTGTTTTTACACAAAATCTTTTGACGCAGTCTGCCTTCGCAGATTCGCCCAAGTGTAACTTGGTCTGTGTGCGTCTGTACCCAGATTGTGTGTGTGTAATTTGACATTTGTATCTGTAAGAACCACCCCCCCCCCCCCCCCCCCCCACCCCCCCCCCCCCCCCATCTGTTGTGTAAAAATAGAACCACCTTGTCGAAGAGAAGAACTGGAAAAAAAGCCTAGAGCTACGCACGGCTTTGTTTTACACCACAAATCTCTATTTGACACACCTTCGTCCGCCAAGCTTCAGTGTTCAAAAATAGATTTGTGGGTGTAATGTGGTTGTTCTAGCAGTAACCAGCAGAGGTGTGGTGTTAGCTGGTTTATTACCTAAGGCAAGCAAACCAAACCTACTGCCTTGACATAGACACACTACCGCATACTGTTTATGATATTTTTTTCCTATATTCACTTCCTGTCATTCACACCACTGTATTATACATGGATACTCTTATAATAACTGGATAGGGTGTGTTATGGAAATTCTATTGCCTCAAATGAATGAAACCGTTGAGGAAAACAAACTTGTCCTTTGGTGCAGTTTTATTCACAGATTTTGTGATGGTACCAAATATGACATTTCTGGCGCAGAAAGGACGTCAAACAGAAAGCCGGCACCTGGGCCATTGCCGTCTCTGTCTGTTTCCCCGCAACAAACATGTCTTAGATCTTATACTGGAGGTTGTGTCCGACAGAACAAGGACATTCGTCACCACATGAGTGATGAGTCATACGCAAGCTGCAGACGGGGAAAGTTTGGGAGAGATACTTAAGCGCAGAAAAGGGACGCTTCGAATGTGATAAACAAGGGAACACGCTGTAAGAACATTTGGATTATGCCATGCAGGTGGTGGCGAAGGTTATGGGAAGGGGGACCGTGGTGGAAAAGGCAGCCTTTGTGTTAATGTTTCAAACTGGGATGAGAAGCAGTTTCAGACGCTGGGAAAGAAGACGCATGTATGAGCTAAATGATGTGGAATCTCTTGTGCCGGGATCTGGCCATTGAAACAATCCCCCTGTGATTATCTTCAAATCAATCCACACTACTATTAAGTACTAAAAATATATTCAATTACTAAAAATATAAGTAAAAATATACAAGTAAATTATAAGTAAATAAAATATATCAAGTAAAATTTAAGTAAATATAAGTAAACCCGGAACATCAAAACTTTCACAGCCTAGTAGGTTTAAGAAAATCCGTCATAAAATGGTGTTAGTCTTACAAAACCAATTTACTCAAAAATCATCAAGTAAACATTCCACTAAATGGATCACTGTCCTCATCAAGACAGTCAACTTGCAGGTTAAGAGAAGTGTGTTGAACGAGTGTCGACGTGATCTATACGTCGGTATCAATGAAAGGAATCAAAGGAATGACACAACATGACGCCTATTAGCAGTACTAATATTACTCCAAGTCCCTGTACCTATTTGAACCAAACCCACGCTCGCCAGTCAGTAAAACCATGATAGCGAGTCTAGAACCAAAATCACGGTTTAACCCGCATCGTGGCAAGGTGGTTAGATTTCGATACCCTGTGCAATGATCCCATCATCGGCACTGTTATCAGGAATATACGTACAAACAAGCGGTTCTGATTAAGTAAACACAAACACTCAATTGAGGCAACAAATGTTCCAAAACAATCCTGTTTTGTAAAGCAACGGCCACGCAACGCATTTATTCTACTTGTTGGCCTCTGTTATAGTTACAGTTGGATTCACAAAACTTGATAAACCGATTAATTCAGGTTTTCCAGTCTAAGCATAACTTTCCCTTATACCGAACCTGGGCGGGAAAAGGAGAGAAGTACTTTTGTTGGCTTGCTCCACAGTTTGTGAATCATCTGGAACGTCCGTCCCCCCTAAACTGCATCATGAGCAGCCACATGCGCTTACCCGCGATCTAGGAATTGGTAGAGATGATTGTAAGAGTGATCTGAAGCTATTCATCAGAGCACAAACGACCTATCCAAACTAAATGTAGACTTCACTTAGGACATTGAAGCCCACACCGGCCACAAAAACACCCATCAGAGGATTCGTTCGGTTTCGTCAGGAACCGTGATGTATGGAGCACATGTACCTACCCCGGAGCGGCCTGAGAAGTGTTTTAAACTTGAATTCATGAAAGAAGTACACGGGTTAGACACATTTAACTAAAATGACATAGGGATCCCGTCCATTCTGTATAGTGAGTATCTGTTAATGGTACATGGATAGAGTGTAACATACAAATTTTAGTACCAGGTTTTATATTGTACGGGCCTAATTTGGAATCCTAATTCATCATTAAAACCATTAATGAGAAATCAGAACTAACAGCCGGCTTTGATGAGTGGGGAGGAGACATTCTGTTAGCTTAGTGACGGTCTCATTGAAATAACACCTAACAGAGACCAGATGAAATACAGAATCTTTGGAAAATGACGTGTAAATGCCAAGTCGACCATTGGTAGGGTGTGATGTGTGGGTTTGATGACGCAATAGGCATCTGCGTACAATGTAACAATTTGAGCGATTTTGTGCTCTGCTAAGAATTTTGCATATTGCATATCCACCCCAAATTAAGTGTGTACACGCATGGTGTGTACATTGAGCTGAGCCAAAATCACGTGACCACGCCAAAATCCATTTGGGCCACCATCTTCCTCATTCACACGTTTTGATGTTAAATGAAGAGGTGTTAGAAGTGGTAATTGACAACGGACCTGTGTTTGATTGTTCTATTTATTCTCCCGACCTTCAAAACCATAACTGTGGAAACACTATGGGAAGGAGATGACTGAGACACACCAAAGTCTTTTCATCCGCAAAGGCCCTGCTGCCTGATTATTGGATGCCCAGGGACCGTTGCACCCGGGCCGTTGTGCATCCTGGACTTGGATTGTCACTTGTTCATCTTTGTGTTACTATTTCTGCTCATCTCTGACCTAGGATGGGTAGTTACAGCACTTTTTCTGATGCTGTTCACAATGTATTTCTAACAATGTTTTACGTTGGGAGGGGGGTGTGTGTGTGTGACCTCTTTCGCGTTGGGGGGGGGTAAGCTCTCCTTAGCTTCCGATGTACGCTCCGCAGAAGGCTTGGGACTTGTTTGCAGGGCGATGCGTGGACCCAGGTCTGCCTCTCCTGGATTTCCACAGCGGTTATGTGGTGTGACGAGGAGCGAACTTGGAATGGGCCAAGCAGCGCTGTGATTCCAGCTTTTGGCTTGAAAGTTTCCTTCTCAGGACGAAGTCTGCCGGGTAGGAATGTTGTGAAGTGGATGCGTCCCGACGTTGGGGAATGGGGCCGATGACACCTGTCTTCTGATAGCAGAAAGAGACTTTGTTAGGGTTATACAATACCTTATCATGCCATCTTGCTCAGGGTGCATCTGGTTGAGGTCCGCAGGACCCCTTCCTACGTTGGGGGGAGCTGCAAACAAAATCTCAAATGGGGACAGCGGTTGTACGCAGTGGCGGCCCTATTCATTCGCATGTACATCAGCAATTGGCATGCTTTTTGGCCAGCTAAGGTTTGTTTTTCCTGACAGCATTCTGGCCAGTTTTGATCTTTTTTGTGAAATTTTCTCTGCTCAACGCTCACCAGACTGGTGGGTGATAGCTGCAGTGAGTTTTCAACTAAAATTTCAAATAATCAGACAGTTGTTTTATAACTTCATTAACAAATGCGACCCATTATCGCTGGACACTTCTGAGGAATTCCCCCTTTTAACATAATATTTCCAGTCAAAAATGGCTTATTGCCTACTGAGCGGAGGACGCCTTGTTTTTGCAGGGGAAAGCTTAACCACTTGAAAACATATCCACCATTACAAGACATACATTTTTTTTCCCTTCATGGGTGTTAATTCAATGAAGTCCATATGCGAATGTTCAAACGGTCTTGTTAGGAGCTGTGTGAGCTGCTTGTGCCAGAGACCTCGGCCTACACGGGTTATTCTGTGCACAGATAGACAGCTTCTACAAATCTCTGCAGCAATGTAGAAAACCCTTTTGTAAACCAAAATTGTTTGGACTGATTGAAACATATTCCCCTTTGGGACACATGGTCCAACCCTTTTGTTAAACTTAGCATAGCAATTTAAATAATCTTTTCGGGAAGGCGATGGCTCAAAATCTGGCCTACCCAGACGCCATTTTGGAAAACTGCACCAGACTCCC